AAAAAAAAAAAAAAACATATAAACCAATTCCTAAATCTACAACTGCAGGAGTTCTAGAGCGTTTCGACAGTAGCATCAACACGCTGCTAGCAATTACCCAAGATGGAAATTCTAAGCGAACCTTCGGAAGAACCATTTTAAAAACCTTCCAAACGACTACAACCATTTTATAGTCATTCTAAAAAAAACTTCAACCGTCATGAGAAATATTCAACACTGGGTTGAAAAAAGAAAGTTGGAAGGGTTCTTCAAGGTAAAATATTCGTCCAAATTTTAATAAAAACCACAACAATTATACTTTCGAGTCATCAGATCTGCACCTGTTTCTAAGACGGTATTTATAAAATCTTTAGTCAAATTATTGTCGCACTCACTCCAAACATCACCAATAACGCATATTTGTTATTACTATTATTATTAACTAGTACTGTCAATATTACTGTTACTATTACTACTACTGTTACCATTACTATTATTACTACCGCTTTCATTATTGTTACCATTACTATTTAATGGAATTATTGTTACGGATATTTATGAGTATATAAATCCACTCGTACTAAAAACACGATAATGACTTACAACCAAAAGTTGAGAGATGAATACTCGTGGCAAGATGTCAAACCACAAATGTTGAACGTTGGTATCAAGCTGCATTCTAACTATAGAGGTCTCAAAGTGATTATTTTGCATCATCCTATGTCTGTTATCAGCGATGGTGCCAGCGAAGTAACAATGCTTTTGCGTCAGATTGTGCCCATTACTTTATTCTTCCTGTGCGTTTTTTTTCCAACATTTTTAAGATGGAACGGAAGTACTTGTGCTCCAGAATCTCCAGAAAGACACAGTCATTTGTAATAGATGTGGCTGGGAAAAGTTTTTTTGCTTTTGTTTTAAATCGACGTTTATACGGTTTTTTCAGCATCGTATATACTTATCCGTATTAGATTGTTGAAGTGTTTCCGGCTGACTGTTGGAATCTGATTTCCACGTGTATTGCAGATTTCTGAAGTATGGTATTACTTTTTTCTGACATTCATTTCAGAAGATCGGAAATGCCGCCAGTGCCTCAGAAAAATGAACATGCTTCAGAAGAAGTAGAGGAACCAAAAAAATTGTCGGTCAGAGAAGAAGTATTTAGAAAACTTGCTTCCATAAGTCGTCCTAAAAAAGGCGTGGAAATCCCAGTTAGGAAAGGAATGGAGCGTGGTATTAGAGCTATAATTCTAGGTCCACCAGGCTCTGGTAAAGGAACTGTTGCAAATGTTGCATCTCAAGAATTTTGTGCATGTCATCTCTCAACTGGTAAGTTTTTGGATGTTTTTGCTCTTCACTTCTTCGTTTAATTGTTCAAGTAGTTTTTACTTCCTACATTACAGGTGACCTCTTACGAGCTGAAGTTGCTGAGCAAACAGAGTTGGGAAAGAAGATAAAGGCAACTCTCGATGCAGGGAAATTAGTTTCAGACGATGTTGTTTGTGAAATGATCGAGAAAAACTTGGAAAAACCAGAATGCAAGAAGGGTTTCTTACTTGACGGCTTTCCTAGAACTACTGCTCAGGCGCAAAAAGTGATTTCTCTTTACAGTTTCACTTGTTGAGCGTATTTCGCAACTTGCGGCTATTTTGCTGTTCTTCATTGAACTACTTAATTTCTTCCCCTTAGCGTGAATTTATGGCGTACTTGTCAAAAATTATTAAAGTATTTCAATCTGCAGCTGGACAAAATCCTTGAAGATAGAGAAACACCATTGGATACAGCAGTGGAACTTGCAGTGAAGGATGATGTTTTGGTTGAACGTATTACTGGACGTCTCTATCATTCTGAAAGTGGCAGAGTATACCATTCAAAGTTTAACCCACCGAAGGTTTTTTTTCAAATATACATTTTAAATTAAAGTCAGGGTCGTTTTTTTATTTAATTAGGCCGTTTTATCAGAAACAACAGGCATATCTTGACGAGTGGGATTTTTCATCTTCACTATTTACTGCACATTTATTCGCTATTCTGATTATTTTCTGGTACTGTGCTTGGCTAAGCTGCTCGTTTTTCTAGAAAACATTTTTTTTTTAATTTTAAGTGGTATTGGGGATTATGAATGTTGTTTATCTTTTGAACGCATTTCAAATTATTGTATTCATTCTCTGTACCGCTTTTTTGTTATTATGCGTTCTCGTAGAAGCTTTTATACTTCATTAATTCTCATGCGAACTTAACTTTACAAAGGTTTATTATGATTTCTTGTTTTGAAAAGAAAGGAAGGAACCAAGGTAATCGTTGTTAACTAGACACTGCTCTACTGAATTACATTTTGAGCATAGAAGCCTCATTAAAATTGAGAGTGGAGGACTTTATCGGGCTGTGATTTTTTGTTTTTGTTATCAGTCTTTTTTTAAATTTCTTTGTCACTCGTGCTGATTTATACACTATAGTTCTTTTTTGCTGAAGCTAAATGAAGGTTATTTTTGCAAATTCAACTGAAGTTTACTGTACTAGTTGCCGCTTTTTAGGTTCCGGTCCAGCTTTCGGCTGCATAACCTTTGTCAGTTCAACTTTCGGTTGATTCTTTTTTTCGGTATTTGTTCGTGGCGTAATACTTGATTGATTTCTTAAAAAGTTTAAGAGTTGGAATTGATTATTATTTTAGACTTCGGATATGCAGAAACTTGTAAAGACATTCTTTTAAGCGGCTCAGAAGGCAAAATTTTAAAATAATGCGTAGAGCATATAGAGTTTTAGACTGTAGCTACTTTTATTGGGACGAAGGAGAGCCTCTTTACAAAGGAAAAACAAGTTCTCGAGATGTCTGCTGTGAGAGCTTACATTAATAGTCATACTCTTTTAAAAATTTTGACCTCTAACTGTTAGAATACGTCAGAAGCATATCTTATTCTTTTTTTATCGCTAAATTTGTCGAAATCAGAAGTTCTTATAGAAATATTGCGCTTTTTTCCGGCTAATTAAGGCTGAAAACTTGATTCATTGACTTCAGGAGAAACCTGCCGATTATTATTTTCCTGCCAGAGAATTGGTACGAGGAACTTGCGCTGGAAGTGAAAGATATTGCGGTTGGGCTTTATATCTAACTGTTAGAGTAGTTATTATATAAGTTAAGAAGGAAGAGGTTTTAGTCGTTTGTTTCTTCAAGAAATTTGTTAGTTGTTGGAAGTGTTGGGTTGGGTACGCTGTGTCTTAATTAATCGTGAATAGTTTTCTTGTTAGTTTCGTTGGCTGACTTCGGCATCTTCCTGTTACTTGCCATTTGGTACGTTTTATAAATTTAGCTGTGCCGTTGAAGAAGCGACTTTTTTTTCCAAGTTATTTTTTAAGAGCTTCTATGATACATTTCCTTATAATAATTATTGCTTTGTAAGTCTTAGGTTCCCCAAAGTTTGTTTTTTGGTTTTGCCGCGTCTTAGATTAGATGCTCAGGGATTCGATAGATTTAGTGGCATTGGAGAGAAAGAGCAGTCTCTTTAAACTTCAGGAAGTGGTTCTTTTCTATATGTATCGTAGTATTAAATTTTTTTGTTTCTGATGCTTCAGTATCTTTCCTCCTATACTTACTGTGTTAGGAGGATTTCCAGAACGAAGTGAAAGATTTTTACCACCAAAACTTGTTACTTTATCGATATAGTTTTTTGGTGTCGAGAATGATTTGTATAGAAGGCTTTAAATCCCCAAGTGCTAGTACAAATTAATGGAACTAACGTTTAGAGTGATTTATTACTTGCTGTATAATAAAAAAGCTGATGTTGAGAAGATTCTTCAATTAGGACTTTTTGTTATAAATTTCAGAATTTCGATATTGAGTAAATACTTTTGGTCTTGCAGTGCCTATTTGCAATAGCTTTATTTCTCTGAATTTTGGTTTTCTGTCTAAATCTTGAGATGCAGTCATGGACTCTGTTATACTTTTGAAAGTTTTATGCAGTTTTATTTTTTCACTCTTATTTTGTATAAAGTGTTTTACGGTGTCAAAACCTGCTTTTTGATTTATTTGTTGACGAAATTAATGGATAGTTTTTGCTTTTTAATTGGCAAAATACAAAAGTGAAGTTTGAAGTTATTTTATCCAGTTTTTTTTGTAAAAAAGTTACAACTAGTTAATGTGAGATTCATATCGAAAAATGAATCATATATTAAGAACTATATCAAAATTTCTTCAGCTCCTATGGTCGTTTGTTCTTGAATATGTTTCAATTTGTATTTGTTATTTAGATCCCCATGAAAGATGATATCACTGGTGAACCTTTGGAACATCGTAAAGACGATACAGAAGAAGTATTACGGCAGCGTTTGGCTGTTTATTACAAACAGGCGGGTTTTAAATTCTCGTATGAATCCGGATAAATATTTATTAAAGCCTCTTTCTTCACGTTATTTTCGCACAGTTTATTGGTTGTTGAGAAGCTTTTTTCATTTGCTTGTTCGTTTTGCGTTCATAATTTTATCTTTTTTTTCAGACCTTTCCACTAGTTACATATTACACTAGACGAGGACTTCACCAACGTGTTGATGCTAATGTCCCACCAGAAAAAGTTCTAGAGAGAGTCAAATCGATTTTCTCAAGATTTTGTTGGTAAAAACCATGGTTTGGACGATTTTAGGTTTAGGAAGTTACCTATTAACAGGTTCTATCGTTTAGGACGTTCTTCATCGTTTTAGTTTTCAGGGCTTTTCAAACTGTATTTTGAGGTACTGATTTTTCTGGTCTTTTCTGTTACAATCTTGAGAGGTTTGTTTGCAGCAGAAACTAATCCTGTCGAGAATTATTCATTCTGCCCACGTTCTCATTTTGATTAAATTGTTAGGTTGATGGATTCGATTATAATC